TGCCGTTCTACATCCTCGTGTCTGTCGACGACTTGGTCTTTGCCACTGCTAACACTACTGGACTCGCCCACGTGAAGTCGGAGCTGCAGAAGAGACACATGTGCACAGACTTGGGTGAACTGCGCAGCTACCTTGGCTTGCAGATCACCCGGGACAGAGCACAGCGCACCATTACCCTGACTCAGTCACACATGGTGCAGCAAGTCCTTCAGCGCTTCGACTTCACGTACTCCTCGCCTCAGGCCACTCCTCTGTCTACTCGCCACTAGCTCTCAGCTCTGCCTTTGGATGAGTCCGTAGAGTCGAGTGGCCCGTACCCAGAACTTGTTGGCTGCCTCATGTACCTGATGACTTGCACACGACCTAACCTTGCATACCCTCTTAGCATCTTTGCACGCTATGTTGCTCCTGGGAGATACAGACCAGAGCACATGGCTGCAGCAAAGAGGGTGTTGCGCTACGTGTGCAGTACGTCGGGCATGGGGCTAGTGCTTGGAGGGCGACGTCGAGTAGTCCTCACAGGTCACGCTGACGCTTCTTGGGTTGATGACCAGGCTACGCAGCGGTCGTCACAGGGTTACACCTTTAGCCTTGGCTCCGGCCCTGTTTCGTGGGGGTCTACACGCTCGTCCTCTGTTCTCGGCTCCAGCTGTGAGGCTGAGATCTACGCAGGGGCCATGGTTGCATAGGAGCTACGCTGGCTCACCTACCTTCTGAGTGACCTAGGAGAGGCGCCTCGTTCTCCTCCAGTTTTGTACGTAGACAACAAGGCCATGCTGGCCTTGTGTTGGGAGCACAGACTGGAGCACAGAACGAAGCACATTGCTCTCCGCTACTTCCTGTCTTGTGAGCTGCAGCAGCGTGGTCAGCTCCGCCTCACCTACGTGGCCTCTGAGGCCAACACTGCTGATATCTTCACCAAGGCCCTTTTGCCTTGTGATCATCAGCGCTTCTGTACTGTGCTAGGTCTTGTGCCTACCTGGCCTCACTTGCTCACTTCTTGATCTTGTTTGTACTGTATTCTTTCTATACTTGCCCTTGCTTTTTTTACCTTAATATATATTTTCTTGCATGTGAACTGGCCTTGTGGCCTCACTCTTGTGCTCGGACTTTGTGCTCCACCCTGAGCTTGCTTTGCTTTGCTTGACTGGTCTTGTGACTACTTGTTCTCCCCCACTTTGCCTGTGGGGTTGTGTCAGAACATTATAGCTTATACATTTGTGTAGGCTGTAGTGGGGTATCCCATAAGGGGTACAACCTAATTAGGGTTAGTACTTGTACCCAACTGTTTCATAGTTCATCCATTCCATTCTCACTTCTCTTCAAGCGCCGCCCTCCTCTATAGAAGTCTTAGCAGACCCAGATGAAATGAAGCACGATGCCTATTAGAAGTTGCAATAAGCAGGCTTTCACAATATGATCATTTTTGAAAGTGTATTCACTTTCTTAAATTTTGTATTGTGATAGTGAAGCGATTGCCAATGCAGCAAAGGCAGCGTCGCATCGCTACTCGCTCTCTTTTGCCTACAAAAGAGGGATTGGAGGCCATTTGGCCTCACCCTCGTTCTTCTTTTCAGATTTTTAGTTTGAGTTCCCCACCCTCCTGAGAACAAACGAGAATGAACTAGATTTAACTAGGGCCTAGGCTTAGGAGCCTAGGCCCAACTAGGATGTCGAGTGAGTTGTCCCAAGGGTGAGAGTCGAGAAAATTGTAAAGTGGGTTGCATTAGAAAGTTGCAAGACTTATACAGGGAAAGCAAATGGAATTGGTGCACCACCTACAAAGCACAATAACTACACTACAACTACAAGCAGTTATAAAATATATGAATCATATTTCGACATGCCCCCATAAGTGCTTGTAGGTAGAAGTATAGTTACGCCCCCTGAGGGGGTACACCATGCAAAATAATAAACAAGCAACAGTAGGTACTGCAGGCGGGCTAACTCTGGCTGGTCACCCCCTCCATCTCCTCACCCTCCTCCTTCCCCTCCCCCACACTGCTGCAGGAGCAGCAGAGAGGGGGGGAAGAGAGGAGAGGTGGAGGGACGGCTGCTGGTTGCCTCACACCCGCCACCCCGGTGCCACTCCCCCTGCTCCCCCACACCCTCACACCCTTCCCTCCAGCGGCAGCTGCAGCAATGGGAATGAAAGGAGGAGGAGGGGAAGGGAAGTATACGACCCAACACTCCAACTCCCGTCGCCCTTGCAATCTCCCCTCCCATCCGGTCGCCCTTGCAATCTCTCCTCTCGCTCACGTCCTCCCCTCCCCTCCCATCTTGTCGTTCGCCTGCTCTCCCCTCCCATCCCGTCGTTCGCCTCCTCTCCCCTCCCATTCCGTCGTTTGCCTCCTCTCCCCTCCCATCTCGTCGTTCGCCTCCTCTCCCCTCCCATCCTGTCGTTCGCCTCCTCTTCCCTCCCATCCCGTTGTTCGCCTTTGTCAAACGTTATAGCTACTATACAAAGTTTAGGCTGTAGTGGGGTAGCTAATATGGGGTATAGCCCACTTTAGGGTTTCATATTTGTACCCAACTCTTCCATAGCTCAATCATTCCTGCTGCTAGATTCTAACATGGTTTCAGAGCACTACGTCCGTAGGACCTTTTTCTTTTCGGGCCCACCTACCGTTGCGATTACCACGCTACCCCACGTATTGTCGTGCGCCTGCCTGCGTGCCTGCCTTGTCTTGTGACGCGCTGCGCTGCGCGTGCCTTCCTACAGCCTTCGCGCTGCCTACTGCTGCCCTAGGCCAGAGCGCCGCCCCTGCAGGCCCGTACGGCCCACGCGCCGCCCCTACTGCCTCGTAAGGCCCGTGCGCCACCCCTTCAGGCCCGTCAGGCCCGCGAGCCGCCTCTGCAGGCCCGTCAGGCCAGAGCGCCGCCCCTGCAGGCCCGTCAGGCCCGCCAGCCGTCCCTGCAGGCCCGCTAGCCGCCTCTGCAGGCCCGTCAGGCCCGCGAGTCGCCCCTGCAGGCCCATCAGGCGAGGTCGCCGCCCCGCACGTCGCGCTTGCTACCCGTGCGTCGCGCTGCAGCCCCGCGCGTCGCGCTGCAGCCCTGCGCGTCGCGCTTGCTGCCCGCGCGTCGCGTTTGCTGCCCGCGCGTCGCGCTGCAGCCCCACGCGCCGCGTTCGTTGCCTGCACGTCGCGCTGCAGCCCCGCGCGCCTCGCTCACAGCTCGCGCAGCACGTTGCAGCCTCGCGCGCCGCGGCTGCCCCTGTTCCTCACGGCTACCCCTGGACGCCGCCTTGCAGCAGCTGCCACCGTCGCTCCTGCAGCAGCTGCCACGGGGCGCCCTGCCACAGTCGTGGTCCTGCCTAGCAGCAGCTGTCGTGGAACCATCTGCCGCCGTCGCGGCCCTGCCCTGCAGCAGCTCTCGCAGAGCCTCCTATCGCGGTCGTGGCCCTGCCCTGCAGCAGGTGCCGCGGAGCCTCTTGCCGCGCTTGCGGCCCCGCCCTGCAGCAGCTGCCGCGGAGCCTTCTCCCGCCGTTGCGGCCCCGCCCTGCAGCTGTCACGGCCCCGCCCTGCAGCAGCTGTCGCGGACCTGCCCTACCGTCGACGCGGCCCTGTTCTACCGCAGCTGTAGCGGACCCGCCGTCACCGCCGTCGTGCGCCTGCCCTTCTGGCAACTGGTGAGCACCTACCTTGTTCGTGCACTGCCGCCTGCCTGCCTGCCTGCCTGCCTACCTACCTGCCAGCCTGCCTGCCGGCCTGCCTGCCGGCCCGCTTGCCCGCCGCGCCTGCCCTGCACGCACTGCTGCTGCTGCTCCTGCCATTGCTACTGCTACTGTCAAACACTAGATGTGTTATTATTGTGTAGGCTATAGTGGGTTAGCCTTTAGGGGGTACACAAAGTTAGGGTTTCCTTCTTGTACTCCAACTTTCGTAGTGCAATCACTTCTTCTTCATAACATGGAATCAGAGCAGGTCCTCCGCTAGGACCGATTCCTAGGGCCCACCACTACTACTTCCTACTAGCGCCCTCGTGCGCCCTACTGTCGGAGCGCCCTCGAGCGCCTCCCCCCCTAGCGCCCTCGTGCACCTCGTTTTCACGGCCCCCTAAGGCCCCGCGACCCGCGACCCGCCCCCCCTCTTAGCGACCCGCGCGCCGCCCCTTAGAGGCCCCGTCGACCACGCGCACCGCCCCTTAGAGGCCCCGCTGGCCCCGCTTAGAGGCCCTGTCGGCCCTGTTTGCCCCGCGCGCCCACCCCTTAGTGGCCCCGTCGGCCCCGTCGACCCCATGTGCCGCCCCTTAGTGGCCCCGCTGGCCCCGTCGACCCCGCGCGTCGGCCCCCTTAGAGGCCCCAGCCGGCCCCGTCGACCCCACGAGCCGCCCCTTAGCGGCCCCGCTGGCCCCGTCGACCCCACGCGCGACCCCTGTTAGAGGCCCCGTCGGCCCCGTTTGCCCCTTAGCGGCCCCGTCGGCCCCCTCTCGACCCGCGCGTCGCTCCTTAGCACCCTGCCGCGACTCCCACGAGCTGCCAAGCCCAAACCGAGCCGCCCAGCCCGACCCGAGCCACCCAAACCGAGCCGCTCAGCCCGAACCGAGCCGCGCCGCCCGAACCCAGCCAAGCCGCCCTACCCGAGCTGAGCCGCCCTACCTGAACTGAGCCGAGCCGCCCGTACTGGACCGAGCCGCCCGTACTGGACCGAGCCGCCCTACCTGAGTCGCCTTGCCTAATATTTTTAGGGTGCAACTACTGCTAGTCTACTGCTACTCTACTGCTGCTATGGCTAGCCCTCCTGTGCTAGCTTTCGATGCTGAGGGCCGCCCAGTGAAGTTCGATACCTAGCTAGATGACCTACACCTCTTCCTACAGCACACTGCCAAGGAGGAAATCGCACAGTACGATCACGCCCTAGGCCATGCTACTCCTCCTGGTGCTACTGCTGACAGCTCTGCTCGCTCTTAGTGGCAGACTCGTGACGCCCACGCTCGCTTTGCTATTCGCAACTCCCTGCCGATAGATGAGCGCGAGCACTTTGGCCAGCACAAGACAGCACATGCACTGTACACCGCTGTCGTTGCCCGCTACTCCTCACCTACATCTGCCACGCTAGGCCGTCTCTCACTCCCCTACCTGTTTCCCGACCTGGCCTCGTTCCACACAGTTGCTGACCTCATCACGCACCTCCGTACTAGTGAGGCCCGCTTCCGTGCCGCCATGCCCGATGAGTTTCTTGCCAAGAACCCTCCCCCGCTCTAGCTCACTCTCTACCACCTAGTCACCCGCCTCCCTGACACTCTGCATGCTGTCAGGGATCACTTCCTAGCTCGCTGTCCCACTGACCTCACCATTGCCCTCCTCGAGAAGGAACTGCTTGCAGTTGAGGCTAGCATAGTCGCTGTAGGTGCCTCTTGTGGCGACCCCCGCACCCCTTTCTTTGAGGGGTTTTCCCCTTCCCCCCTTCTTCCCTCTGTAGCCTCTGCTTCTGCTGTCGACCTCCTTGGATCTGAGAAGGTCAGGGCTGCGTCTGCCTCGAGCGGGCGCCGCAGGGGCAAGGGCAAATGGGGCAAGGGAGGCAGAGGTGACGCCGGGGGAGGCCATGGTGGGGGTGGTGGCGGCAGTGGGGGTGGTGGTGGGACTGGTGGGGCTAGTGGCAGCGGTGGGGGTGGTGGCGGAAACGGCGGGGGCGGTGGCAGGGGCGTGGGCGGTGGTGGGGGCAGCGGTGGACGCGGCGGCGGCAGGGGAGGAGGTGGTCGAGGAGGTGGTGGCGGCAATGGTAGTCGTGGAGGCACTGGCGGTGGCCAGAGCCTACAGCACTCTCCGTCGCCCCAAAAGCTCCATGAGTGGTACGCTCAGCACGGGGGGGGTAGTGGCCTTAGCTGCACATACGTCATCCGCACTGGTGACCGAACTGGTCAGACGTGTGGGAGGGCGCACCCCACGCAGCGCTTCTTCTCACGCCTTGATGACGCTTGGCGTACTCAGTTCCCTTACGCTGGGCTGATCTGATGAAGCAAAACATTGATATCTTTGCTCTAGACTTTGATGCTATTCTCTCTACCATGTATGTGATGTCTATTAGTGGAGAGGGTGCCCAGTACCTGTGTGCTCCGCCCTACCCACGCATTCGACCCGGTGAGGCTACTGCTCTAGGTGCTAGAGTGTCTGCTACCCCAGGTGCTGGTGAGGCTGCTGCTCTAGGTGCTGGTGCGTCTGCGTCCACTGTTACTGAGTCCACGGAGGCACTGCACACCTTTACACTAGACTTAGGTGCTTCCCGCTGTTTCTTTCATGACCGCACGGCTCTTGAGCAGCTTGCTCGGCCCGTTGCAGTCTCTCTCGCTGACCCCTCAGGGGGTCCAGTCCTTGTGACCTCCTCCACAGTTCTCCCTTGTCCGGCCGTCCCGTCCGGCACACTGTCCGGTCTCCACCTCCCCTCGTTCTCTACGAACTTGGTGGCGGGATGTGCGCTCCAAGACACGGGTGTCCACCAGTTCACCCCTGCCTACGAGCGCGTGACACACTGCACGTGTGCTCGGACGGGCCGTCACCTGGCGACCTTCACACGGCATCCGGGGTCGGACCTGTACACACTGACTACTGAGTCCCCTCCGGTAGCTGTGTTTACATCCGCGTCAGGTCAGCTGTCGGCCCCCTGCTCGTGCCGCTCTCTGGCGCACGAGACAGTCCTCTGGCACCAGCGCCTTGGTCACCCTTCCGTGCAGCGCCTTCGGGCAATGCACAAACGGTACCTTGTCTCTGGTCTTCCCAGGGTTCTCCCTCCCCTCCCAGCCTCGCCTGCTCCTCCCTGCCTTTCCTGTGTCGAGGGGCGGCAGCGCGCTGCTCCTCACTCCTCCTCGTTTCCCCCGACGATTGCTCCCTTGCAGACGCTCCACATGGACGTGTGGGGCCCCGCCCGCGTCCGTGGTCAAGGTCAGGAAAGGTACTTCCTGATAGTCGTTGACGACTACTTGTGCTACACCACAGTCTTCTCCTTGCGCACCAAGGGTGAGGTCCCTTATGTTTTTATCCCTTGGATCCGCGCTTCTCGTCTTCAGCTCAGCGAGCGTTTCCACTCGGACTTTCCTGTCCCGCGCTTGCACTCTGAAGAAGGTGATGAGTTCTCCTCCGACCTCTTGGCAGCTTACTTTGCGGAGCACGGCATCCGCCAGTCGTTCACGCTTCCGGCCTCTCCACAGCAGAATGGGGTTGCTGAGCGCCGCATTGGCTTGGTCATGGAGGTCGCTCATACCTCCTTGATCCATGCGGCTGCCCCCCACTTTCTGTGGCCGTTTGCGGTCCGATACGCTGCGCATCAGCTCAACCTCTGGCCCCGTGTCTCCTTGCCAGAGACCTCCCCGACACTGCGTTGGACGGGAGAGGTTGGCGATGCGTCGCGTTTTCGGGTCTGGGGATCCCGAGCTTTTTGTTCGCGATACGTCCGCGGACAAGCTCTCCTCCCGCGCTGTTCCGTGTGTCTTCCTAGGCTTTGTTCCGGACATGTCTGGTTGGAAGTCTTACCACCCTACCTCGCGTCATGTCCTCGCCTCTCAGTACGTCACCTTTGTCGAGTCGGTACCCTTCTACAACCTCTTCCCCTACCGCACTGCCCCGCTCCCTCCCGCGCCTCTCTTCCTCGCGCCAGATGCTGTTGTAGTAGACCCCCTCCCCCCTCAGGGTGCCGCTCCCTCAAATGTGTCCCAGGTAGACCCGGTTGAGCCTATCGAGGTAGGTGTCGACTCTCGTCCTGCTTGGGGTGCTGAGCCTGAGCGTGCGGAGCCTGGGGTTGCGGAGACTGGGGGTGCTGAGCCTGGGGGTACTAAGCCTGGGGGTGCGGAGTCTGGGGTGCTGAGCCTGGGAGTACGTAGCGTGCTTGTGCTGAGTCTGGGGGTGCTGAGTCTGGGGGTGCTGAGCCTGGGAGTGCTACGCCTTGAAGAGCTCTCTCCTCACAGCAGCTGCGTGAGTGGTACTTACAGTACTGCAGCCTCAGGAGAGGCGCTTCTGCAACTCGGGGTGCTGCTGGAGCTGGTGCTCGTGCTTCCTCGCCTAGGCGGGAAATGCCCTCTCCCCAGCGTCTTCGTGAGTGGTACGCACGGTGCTGCAGTCTCAAGAGTGGCGCTCCTAGTGTCGCGGACCCTTATACTGGTGTTGTGGACCCTTGAGTTGGAGCTGCTGCTGGTGCTGCAGACCCGGACGTTGGAGCTGCTGCTGGTGCTGCAGACCCGGTCGTTGGAGCTGCTGCAGGTGCTGCGGACCCGGGCGTTGGAGCTGCTGCTAGTGTTGCAGACCAGGGCGTTGGAGCTACTGCTGGTGCTGCGGACCCTGGCGTTGGGGTTACTACAGGTGCTGCGGACTCGGGCGTTGGAGCTACTACTGGTGCTGCAGACCCGGGCGTTGGACGTGCTGGGGGTGCTGCTGGAGCTGCTGGAGGTTCTTGTGCTGTCTTTGGTGCTGCAGGGGGCACCTCACGACCGTGGACGTACTTTGTTCCACTCCTTTGGCAGGTTCTTGGTCAGTCACCTCGGCCTTGTCCCCCTCCCTCTGTAGAGTGTCCACCGCCGGTCCAGTCGCAGTTACAGCTACCGCCTGCCTCGCCACTTCCTCGTCCTTCTCCCTACACTGGTCCTATAGGCGGTCTCATAGAGCGTCGTCAGCCTAAGTCTCGCCCTGTGTCGCCTTTGTCCCGTCCTGAGTCCCCTGTTTGTACTACTTCCACCAGTCGCCGTACTCCGCGTGAGCGTCCGCCACCAGTCCCTGGCACACACCGGATGTCACTGCGTCCCTCCACTGCTCCACAGCGTGTCCCTCTGCCGTCTCCTCCCCCGTCCTCTCTTCTTGCTCTTGCTGACACTAAGTCTGACTCTCTTCGTGCTGCCAGTCCTACTATCACGTGTCTCCTAGCCATTGCTGTCAGTGACCCTTCGTTTGAGTCTGCTGCTGCGTCTACCCTAGTTGCTGAGCTTGTCGACTTTGCTGCTCGCTGTCGTCTAGACTACGCTGCCATTCTTGTCGCTGAGTCTGACTCTGTCTGTCCTCCATCTGTCGGGGGGGAGTGTGCTCTTAGCACGGACGTCCTTGAGGACAAACAGGAGGATCTTGAGTGTCTTGCAGCCGCTGCGCCCCATCTCTTGTCCATGCTACTTGCCCCTGAGGGAGACCCGGATGCATCAGACACTCGACTCCTGGATCGTACGTCGAGGCGATTGAGGGTCCCTACTCCTCATAGTGGCAGTTAGCCACGGACACAGAGATGGCTTCCTGGAAGTCCACAGGCACCTACGTCGACGAGGTTCCCCCACCTGGGGCGAACATCGTCACTAGCATGTGGATTTTCAGAGTGAAGCGGCCGCCGGGTTCTCCGCCTGTCTTCAAGGCTCGTTACGTTGCTCGAGGCTTCAGTTAGCGAGAGGGAGTAGACTTCTTCCAGACCTTCTCCCCTACCCCAAAGATGACCACTCTTCGGGTACTACTACACGTTGCTGCTCAACGCGACTACGAGCTTCACTCTCTTGACTTCAGCACAGCTTTCTTGCAGGGCAGTCTGCACGAGGAGACCTAGTTGCGCCGCCCTCCTGGCTTCACTGGGTCGTTCCCTCTTGGTACCCAGTGGAGCCTCCGCTGGCCGGTCTACGGTCTCCGCCAGGCGCCACGTGAGTGGCACGACACACTGAGGACTGCTCTTGCAGCATTTGGGTTCTCTCCTTCTACTGCTGACCCGTCGCTCTTTCTACGCACCGACACTTCGCTGCCGCCGTTCTACATCCTCGTGTACGTCAACGACTTGGTCTTTGCCACTGCTGACACTGAGACTCTCGCCCACGTGAAGTCGGAGCTGTAGAAGAGACATACGTGCACAAACCTGGGTGAACTGCGCAGCTACCTTGGCTTGCAGATCACCCGGGATAGAGCACGCCGCACCATTACCCTAACTCAGTCACACATGGTGCAGCAGGTCCTTCAGCACTTCGGCTTCACCTGGTCCTCTGGCTATAGGTCACTCGCTCTGAGCTCTGCCTTCAGATGAGTCCGTAGAGTCGAGTGGTCCTTACCCAGAGCTAGTTGGTTGCCTCATATACCTGATGACTTGCACTCGTCCTGACCTAGGATACCCTCTTTGCCTCCTGGCTCGCTACGTGGCTTCTGGTCGTCACCGAAAAGTGCACATGGATGCTGCAAAGAGGATATTGTGCTACTTGTGCAGTACATCAGGCATGGGGCTAGTGCTTGGAGGAGGGAGCTCAGTTGTTCTCACTGGGCACTTAGACGCTTCTTGGGCTGACGACCAGGCTACTCAGCAGTCGTCACAGGGTTACACCTTCAGCCTTGGCTCTGGTTCAGTTTCATGGTGCTCTACTCGTTCGTCTTCGGTTCTCAGCTCTAGTTGTGTGGCTGAGATCTACGCCACAGCCATGGCTACACAGGAGTTACGATGGCTCACCTACATGCTGACCGACCTTTGAGAGCGGCCTAGTTCTCCTCCAGTGCTGTACGTCGACAACAAGGCTGCCATTGCCTTGTGTGAGGAGCACAGACTGGAGCACAGAACGAAGCACATCGCTCTCCATTACTTCCTTGCTCGAGAGCTACAGCAGCGTGGTCAGCTTCGTCTGCGCTACGTGGCCTCTCAGGCCAACACCGCTGATGTTTTCACCAAGGCACTTCAGCGTGGTGATCATCAGCGCTTTTGTACTTTGTTGGGGCTAGTGCCCACTTTGTCTCACTTATTGTAGGCTTTGCCTGTAGTGTGATCTCTATATATACTCCTGCCTGTTTGCTCTGCTAGGTTGAGATCACCCTTGCTGTGTGTACTACTTATATATACCTCTGCATGTGAACTAGCCTTTTGGCCCTTTGTTTGTGCTCGGATTGTGTGGTGACGTTGTGATCCACCCTGAGCTTGCTTGCCTTTCTTGACTGGTTTTGTGACCCCTTGTTCTCCCCCACTTTGCCTATGGGGGTGTGTCAAACACTATATGTGTTATTATTGTGTAGGCTATAGTGGGTTAGCCTTTAGGGGGTACACAAAGTTAGGGTTTCCTACTTGTACTCAAACTTTCATAGTGCAGTCACTTCTTCTTCATAACTGCTACTGCTACTGCTGCTACTGACGGTGGCCAGATGCAGCTCCAGCGACGTCCGTGTGAGTCCCTCATGCCCTAGCAGCTTAATGAGTGGTACGGTAGTAGGGGTTGCAGGGGTGGCCGCGCTACTACTGCTGCTACTGCTATTACTGCTGCTACTGCTGCTACTACTGCTACTGCTGCTACTGGCGGTGGCCAGATGTAGCTCCAGCGACGTCCGTGTGAGTCTCGCATGCCCCAGCAGCTTAGTGAGTGGTACGCTAGTTGGGGTTGTCGCGGTAGCTGTCATAGCTCTCACCCTGGAGCTGGTCAGTTGGGAGAGTCTGGCAGTGGCTAGCTGCAGCTGCAGCGGCGTCCACGCAAGACACTTATGTCCCAGCAACTTCACGAGTGGTACGCTCAGAGTAGAGGATTTTTTAGTACCGTTCGCTGCCCGTACGTCATTCGCACGTGTGCTCGGACTGGTCAAGCTTGCAGGATGCTCAGTCACACGGAGTCCCGTTGCTTCACCCGTCTGAGCGATGCCTGGCGTACCGAGTTTGGCAAAGAGGCTCAGCTCCCCGACTAGGTGGAGCTGCTTGGGCAGAGGGTAGATATCTTTGCTCTTGACTATGATGCTATTCTCACTGCCATGTATGCATTCCCTACTAGTGCTGACTGTGCCTGTTACCTGTGCGTACCGCCTGACCCAGGTATAGAGCCTGCTGCTCTATGTGCTGGTGAGGCTGCTACTCTAGGGGCTAGTGTGTCTCCTGCTCAAGCCTTATACACCTTCATACTTGACTCTGGTGCTTCCCGCTCCTTCTTTCGCGACACCACCACCCTCATGCCGCTCGGTCGGCCGGTACCAGTCTCTCTAGGAGACCCCTCTGGGTGTCCAGACCGTGCGACCTCTTCCACTGTCCTCCCTTGTCCTGCTGTCCTGTCCGGCACACTGTCGGGTCTTTACCTCCCCTCGTTCTCTACGAACTTGGTGGCAGGTTCTGCGCTCCAGGACACGGGTGTTCACCAGTTCACCCCTTCCTACGAGTATGTGATACACTACACGTGTGCTCAGACGGGTCGTCACCTGGCTACCATCACTCGGCAACCGGGGTTGGGCCTATACACACTGACCACTGAGTCACCTCAGGTAGTTGCGTCTGCGTCTGCGTAAGGTCAGTTGTCGGCCCCCTGCTCGTGTCGCGCCTTGTCGCACCAGACCCTCCTTTGGCACCATCGCCTTGGTCACCCCTCGGTGTAGCGCCTTCGCAGCATGCACCACCGTGTCCTTGTCTCTGGTCTTCCCAGGGTTCTCCCTCCTCTCCCACCCTCGCCTGCTCCTCCCTGTCTTCCCTGTGTCGAGGGGCGGAAGCGCGCCGCTCCTCACTCCTCCTCGTTCCCTCCCGTAGAGGCTCCCGTGCAGACTCTCTACCTGGACGTGTGGGGCCCAGCCCGCGTCCGTGGACAGGGCCACGAGCGGTACTTCCTGTTGGTCGTCGACAACTACACGTGTTACACCACGGTCTTCCCCTTGCGCACGAAGGGTGAGGTCCTTGATGTTTTGATCCCCTGGATCCGCGCTGCTCGTCTCCAGCTCCGCGAGCGGTTTGGGACGGAGTTTCCTGTCCTGCACCTGCACTTTGACAGAGGTGGTGAGTTTTCCTCCGACCTCTTGGCAGCCTTCTATGAGGAGCACGGCATCACCCAGTCGTTCACGCTTCCGGCATCTCCGCAGCAGAATGAGGTTGCTGAGCACCGCATTGGCTTAGTCATGGAGGTCGCTCGTATCTCCATGATCCATGCGG